CCAAAGTATCACAAGATCCATGCGACGTTCAAAAATTTCCGCCAACATTTCATTTTTTTACAGAGAAATTGTCCGACAAAGCTGTCCAAAAATTTCACTAAATTTTCTTAGTGCTGCTGATAAAAATCAGTGAAATTTTCAAACAGATTCAACAATTTCTCTATAAAAAAATTAAATGGCAGCAGAAATTTTTAAACCTTGCATGGGGCTTGCGATACTTTGGCCGGAAAGTGGCGATATAAACATCAGCTAAAATTTTGATCCAGAAATGGACACCTCAGAATTATATCAGTGTTACTTAATGCATAGTAAATCGTTAGGTAATCATTTGGTAAAACTGATTTTTAACCTCAAGTAACGATTACTTAAAATCCTTCTCAAAAAAAGTGACAGTTTTACTCAAAATTGATTAAGTATTACTTTATCGTGAAGTAAACGTGAATTCACCATTACTTTAAGCTTACTTCAAGCTTACTGCACGTTTACTACTCCCTTACTTAATCTTGAAATCCAAAATGCTACATGGGCTACCACGATCAGGGCTCCAATGTGAGAGGAAAGAAGAAAGACGAAAAAAAAATGAGCGAAGCATTAAGGAGTAACGTAGAGTTTTTGAATCTGCTGGATAACACGAATAGAAAATCATTTGAGATCATAGCTCGAATGAACTAACGAAAAATGTGTGACTCTATTTGAGGATTAATTCTCTTGAGTCTCCCCTTCAATTGCAGCGCGCAGGCAACTTATCTAAGTAGACATTATTAGTGCCACGTCACAGAAAAGCGATATAATTCGATGTTTTCGCATTCGTAGCATTGAAAGAGGTCATGCCAATGTTATTGTTTTGATCCAATTCGATGGTAGATATCGTCCACCTGAAATGCGCCTTCAATTTTGTCGCATAGGCGACAGACATACCGGGGAACGCGAATATTTACCTATTTGAAAAACACTCTATTTTAACGCTCCATGAGCTTTGATTGGGCCGGTAAATGACGTTGTGAACCGATTGGTAGATATTGTCCATCTGAAATTCAATTGTGCTGCATAGACAACATATACCTGCCAGACCGCGTATAGTCATTTGAAGAGCTTGAAGACAATGCGCATAAGTACAGTTTTTGAAAAAAAAAGAGATATTATGACCCAAAGTATATAATTCGATTGCATTCAGCAAAAAAGAACCAGCGCCATTACAGTGTTGTAAAAATGTGGCCTCTTCGTAAAGATCTGAAAAATCTCTCAGAAAAGCGAATGATTTTGCTTCCTATCAAAAACAATTGTTAATTTTAATGGAATTTAATTGTGTGAATTTAGAGACTGCACATATATTGAGTATTTTTGAAAAGAAAGAAGAAATTGCACGATTTTGAAAACACTGTAATCTCGCTGGTTCCTTTTTGCTAAATGCGGCCCAATTAGTCTTAATACATAGTCTGTAAAAAATTAGCTCCCAAATTCCAATTTTTAAAAAATTAAAAGGTCAGTTTCAACTTTCTTTCCGCCATAAGGATCCATGTAATTTCGAAACTTCAAACACGTCTTTGTCAAGAAAGCAGAAATTGCCTTTCTAAGCCTTGTCTTTCAAGCCCTCCTTTTATTAAACAAATAAACACGAATCTCGCACCGTAAAATGTCATAAAACCATTAAAACACGCGCAAACATACATAAAATTTATCGCCCACTTGAGATTCGCCTTCAATTTTGCTACTTACGCAACATACATACCGGGAAGCGCAAATTGTTACCTAGTTGACAATAAACTCGATTATCTTTATGATCTTTGAATAATCCGATAACCGATGTTGTGAACCTAAAGCGTTTTTTTCTGTAGCAGACCAGTATGATTCTCTGTAGTTTTGATGAAAGTCTCGATCACCCAATCATTCCTCAATATTTTTTGGTAAACAAGTGCACCTTTTACAGATATACCAAGAACATGAATAGACATTCGGCAATTTCCCACGACTTTACCTCGCGAGCCATGGACCAAGCATTATTTTGGGTCGAGCATGTGGCTAGACACGGAGCAACTCACCTGAGGCCATCAACCGCAGATGCCTCTCTTTTCGAGTTCTTCTGCTTGGACATTATCTCTGTGATCGCATTTTTGAGTATATTGTTCCTATACATTGTATATTTTCTATGTAGGTCTATAATTGCAATGATCTGTCAAAAATCTAAAGCAAAAATAAAGTCATCTTAGTATGATGGTTAATAATCTACGTGAGGGCTTATGAATTAATGACTTGATAAAAATGTCCTTTTGACTGGTGCTGTTTCAGTCATTTTGAATGGCTGTCTTCATTTGAATTGTTTTTTTGCTCTTAAAATAAAAAAAGACAATCTTTTCCGTCAAGAAACTTTTATCCTGGTTCGAAAGTCAGCTTTTGTAACTTTTATGCTGCATTGATTGTGCAATTATGTAAACGGTGAAAATTTCTGTTTCCGCACGTGAATATACGAATTAAGAGCCTATTTGAGTTTTTTCTTGTTTAACGCGTGAACAATTGGACGTATTAATGCTAAAAAAAACTATGAATTGGTAATTCAATCAAATAAAACTACGCGCAAAAGTATGCAAGCTTATTATGACGGATTTATTTTACTTAAATTTATTTGTACAATACCTATTTTTTTTTCTTCAAAAATACAAGTTAAATTTGTTTTGGAAAATTAGCATGAAAATTGCAACACTCCATCCTTCAATCGATTTCCTACTTCCCTTCTCCCGGATTCAATGAGGTCTCACTTTTACTTTAAGGATTCTGCGCACTTAGTTAGTCAAGAGTTACATTATAATCATTCAATTTTAGTGTCACGAATCATTCACAAAATAAGTGCATTTGCGCAGGGCTGAAAAATGACTGGATACTCACCTCAACTAGTAGCTTTGCTGAAATCTCCCCTCGAAAATAATTGAACGGAAGACGTAAAAATTATGGGTCAAATACGAAGTGTGATACAATCAACTTTATACATGAATGTACATTAACAATCATGATCATTGACATGATCTGTCCTACGACATACTTTTTTAATTTTTTTACGTTTTTTGGCTCTAAAACAATTGTTTTTTCGCGAGAAAGGTTGTTACTGAATATTAAAGTGTCAACTTTCTAAAAAAATCTTCTCATTGGCCGGTATTTTTTGGTATTAGAAGCCGAGGTTTGACGTGCACGTGGTTTTACATTTTGTCAAACATATTTCAACCCAAAATCCCTTATATCAACGGTGTAAGTCGGCAATCACATAACTCGATTTGCGACGTTGCAGACTTCCTATCATACTTTATTTTTTAAACGGAAAACTACTCAACGGCTATTCTTTAAAACTCCGGTGATTTTTCTTCTCTATGCGAAGAAAGTTCTGCAAAAACTTCAAGGAATCATGTCAATTTGTTCTCCTCTAAAAAAACAACATAGAGGTGGAGATTTTCAGACACCGCGAACGAGTTATGCGATTGCCGACTTACACCGTCGATATGTCATGTTACCTGGGAGCTGATATCATTTTGGTGTGTATTAACACACCAAAATGATAATATTTTTAAATTCTCGGTGAAAACCTCTTCTAAAGTTGCTTTGTTTTTACAAACGTCAAATATTCTGGCCAATTCCTTATAGAAAAAAAGTGTCAAGGGTTATCTCCTAAACTTGTGGAACTACCTCAATATCTCTAATCATGCATTGTTGGATAATATGGACATTTATTTAATTGTGGTATCCCTGGTAAAAATTGGCAGTATAGAATCTGTGTTCCAAAATACCATTGACCTACAGCCGGCTGTAAGATTTCCAATAGCTTCTACAGCCGGCAACACAATTCCTTATAGCCTTTTACAGCCGATGGCGATTCAGCAACAGCCTGGCGATAAAGTGTATGCTAAACGTTACTAATTACGGATGCTAGGACTTAGTGAGTTTTTGGACCACCGCTCTCTTTTTGGGCCGTAGTATCTGATTTATTTTATGAGGAATGCTCCGTACTTTTGAAGGGTGACTGCTTTTTCTAATATGTTGGAGCGCCTTCAATTTTGTATGATACTGTGCAATACCTCTGGTGTGAAATAGTTGCTTCAAGCGCCGTGGTACGCTGCGGCGCGGAGCGGCGGGCGGGTAGCCAGCGCGAAACGCGCATTGGCGCCTACAAACCTAACGGGGATACTTCACGCATTGCGCACTGCGTGAAGTATCCCTGTTAGGTTTGTGGGCGCCAGTGCGTCGCCGCTCCGCTTTGTGTTAGGGCCTAATATTTAATCTCGTGGAGTCAGCGTTTTCAACACATGACTTTGAAATGTTTGCACACTCTGTATGGATTATTCTCATTTTAATTGATGAAAAAAATATGTAGTAAAGGAAAATATAATGTGCATTTTGTAAATATTTGGGTGATTCCGTACAAACTTAAGGATTTGCAAAGCACACGAATTTCTACACAATTTCTTATAGCCTTTTTTAGCCGATGGCGAAAAAGCAATAGCTAGGCAATAAAGTGTAAAGCCCGGCGATAGGAACTATAGCCCGGCTGTATAATTTTTTATCGCTTCGTGTAGCCCGGTCGTATGATTTTTTCCACTTTCTACAGCCAGCTATATGATTTTCTATTGCCTTCTTCAGTCGGCTGTAAGAACTCCTATGGCGTTTTGAAACGCAGCTCCTATCGCCAATTTTTACCAGGGATAGTACCGCAACATTCGGGTTAGTAACCTAATTCATCGGGGTACTACGCCAATTAATTGAAGTACTACCACGATTGATTGGAAATTCCCATATCATCCAACAACTTCTAGGTACCTATTTTTCTTCAAAACAATCAAGATACATTTACGATACATTTTCAGAACATTTGTCTTCAATTTTCATTTGTTTTTGATTTTGCGTTCTTTGTTTTTGTGCGGTTATGTCGCGTTTATCCTGCAGCTGATTTTGTGTAGGCTAAAAAGACGCGGATTTGATTTGACGCGGTAACAGAACACGTGAAATGGAAGCGACTTGGTGACGTATTCATACCCACTTGAGTTTTACTTGTCTGCCTCTCTTCAGACCATCAACCATTGATGCCTTTCTGCTAGAGAACCTCAGCTTAGATATTCTTTCATATTTTGTTCTTCTCGGTTTTACTATTTATTTTGTCCTATTCACCTTTTTAATGTCGATGATGTGTCAAAAATTTGTCATAATGCGAGTAAGTGTATTTTTTCTGTGCAAATTAAGTACTGTTTTGAGCCATATGAGTAATAAATATAAATAAATAAATTGATGAACGTCTAACATCGTTATGACTGTTCACTGAATAACTCATGAAATGTCTAATTTTTGCATCCTCTCATTTCTGTAATACCATTGAGATCCTTCACATTCTTGAGTGCGTTGACGAGTGCTTTTTGGTCTGTTTAAACATCGTAATCTGCAATCCACGTTATTTTTATCTTTTCTGCAAGTTTAAGTATTTTGCCGATGTTTAGAATAAGAAAAACACTGCTCTAAAAAGTAAAATTCAACTTGGTACCTGCCGTTGCACCTCTTTTAGTGCGCCGTTTCATGGTTCATTTGCTTGAATAATTTGCATATAGTTTGATGTGCTCTCCTGGGATTAAAGTCACAACGATCCAAACGCTTAGTAAATTTTAGTTTTTTTTTTTGCTGTTAGTTCGCATGTTGATCAGTGGTTAAATTCGGAGTGTGATTTTTCTTATTAAACTTTGACGTAATTTTAACATCAAACCATGAAATTTCAAAATCGTTGTGTTCTTGTGGAAAGTGTCATTGCGTATTTATTCAACAGTGTTAACATCTTTAATCGTAAATTATTATCTAAATAATCGTTCTCTTTTTCAAGGCCAAATCGTTTTGAAAGCGAATGGTAGCAACTTAAAGCTTCACTTAAAGTTACTTTTATTTTATTATGTGCCTTGCTGCTGTTATATTAGTGTCATTATTGGCAACCTTCCACCACTGCTGATAATTAGGGAATCATTTCGTTAAAAAGAAAAAAAAAGAAAACAACAAGAAGGGATAACATGTGAACTGTTATAATTTTTTTTTCCTTCCTGTTATCAAAAAGGACCTATCCTCCAAAGACAATACATTTAAAACATAATTTTAACGAAAAATGATTTTCATATCCTTCTTGGTACTTCCTCTTTTGACAAGCCCATGTATTGAGGCGTTCAAAATTTTGGTTTTTTATCCTTTCCCTTCTCACAGTCATCAAAGTGCGATAATGGCTTTAACAGAAAGATTGGTCAGGGATGGTCATGAGCTTTTCGTTATAAGTCCAAATGTTGTGCCTGTGAGTATTCGTTGTTAGTTCAATAATGCATGTAAGCAGAATGTTTTATCTTGATTAAACGTTTCCTATGAACAATACTTAGCAAACATATTAAAGAAGTATTCTTGTGAAAAGACTGATATTTTCCCTCCAAGATCATATTGTAATTATAAGAAATAACAGGTCTCCTGCTAACTCTGAACTGAACATATTTCTATCAAACGGAACTAAGCGCCTTAGGGAGATGAAGGGGGAGAGGGGGCTTGGATTGGCGGGTGTTGCGGAACGCGATGGTCGTTCCGTCCTATACTCGCAATGCTTTTCCATGGCGCTTAGTTCCGTTTGGCAGAACGCGTATTCCGGCATTCTAAAATCCTCAAAAGGAACTAAATTTGGCTCTTAGTTCCGTTTGACAGAAATACGTCCAACTGATACTACAATATGACCGTTTATGCCCAAAATTTTACGAAAATGAGAAAAACCAATGCAATCAGTATTATAAACATTTGAATACATTTTATGTCTCCAGGTACCTATAGCCGTGAGAAAGATAAATTAATACTTATTCAAGTTGCAGGAAAAACGAGGAATAAGGAGGTTGAGTTTAAACTCGAATTTCCTCTATGGACAAACAGCAATAGAGAAACCTCTGAATATCTCAAATATACTTTACACCTTAAAAAAAAACCACACTGACTCTGTTTGATTTTCACTTCAGGGCTTGACAGGACACGTGAACTACACCCACGTTGACCTTTCATTTTCCTACCAGTACATCCCAGATGAAAATAACGCGGAAGATGCCGGCGTAAATTTGCAGCGTATATGGTCAAAATGGGAACTACCGTTGCTATGGAAGGCTCTGGCTAGAATTGCAAGGAAACAACTTCAGAGTGAGACATTTTTGCAGTTTGATAGGTAAAAGCTATTATTAAATGTTTTACACCATTTTTATTGTTTTTTCAAGAAATGTACTTTCAAAATGTCAAACCCCCCACTCAAACCGTTCGGAAGAAACTCAGCTTTCTGAGGACTATTTCTTTACACTGTATTTCACACCCTATATCGACGGGAAAACACATGATCCTGTATCTTGGTATAAGTTTGTAGATTTTTAGGTCTCTTTCCCGCAGGTGAAAGATGGGTGATCATCGCCATTTTAGAAAATTTGGTGTAATCTCTCTTTGCTCTTTGAAGAATAAGGAGGCATATACTGAAAGTCTGCTCCAAACTAATAGATGTTTTCTTAGTTTCACCGTCGAAAGCACTGCCGTGCTGGTAAAACGCCGTACGTACCTATGAGCCCTCAGACATTGCCAAATATCCTTTGACGAATCATGTAATTTCGAGAAAATTTTTATATTTTTTCTTCCAATTTGTCAGAGAAATTTGTTCGTATTTTGATCTAGAGTGTCTGAAAATACAAAGAAAAAATATTCATGACTTTCTTCAAAAATATATTTCCTCATAGGAAATTCGGCAGCATTCAAATGCTCATCTAGCGTTTTTCCATAGTACGGCAGAGTAATACATAGCCCTATTTTAGTATACGATATAATCGCATTTCGATATCTCATCGGGCTGCTTGAAACTTTCAATAATCGGCCCGCTGGTGATTCAGGAGCCATTACTCTTTCTGCCGAGGACTCCGTATCTATACTATACTAGGGGGCTACGCCCCCTGGCCGCTACGCGGCCCAACCCCCTGAAGGCGCTCCGCGCCATCAATGGGCCGCTTCGCGGCCCTATTCTTACCCTCCTATCAGTGTTAGTTTTATTTTTCCCCTTAAAAATTACGATATGAGGTATATTTTAATTTTAAACTTTACTTAAAATTACTATAAAAAATTAAAGGACGCGTTTTGGAATGACTGCTTGATGAAATATTGCAGTAAAACAATGAATAATGATAGTCAGATAGTAAATATGAATTCATGAATTGGGGATCGAACCCACACCGAATTCAAAGTGGACGCATTCGACGTCTTAGACGACTCGACCACCGCTCGTCGTGTAGAGGTGGGTGCGAATCTTGTGTAGATAAGTGTAGAGCTGATGCGCAGGCTACACAGCTACTGCGCAACCTCCTCGACCACTGCGCATCCTCCCGCGCATAGCGGTAGCAGTACCGGAGCATCCTGTAAACTCACTCATTTTTATAACGTGATTTTAAAAAAACCTGGGTCTTTTTTCCAAAATCTGATTACAGCGGGCTCATCTAGGGCCTATTACCTGTCGATTTACGCAAAAATCATGGAAATCGGCCCGGTAGAACGCTCAAACGAACTATGACAAAAAGTATAAATTTACATTGTTTAAATGGGAGAATTCGCAACTTTACCACGTAATATAAAAAAACCTGGGCCATATTTTGAAAATCTGAAAAGAGTTGGCTTATCTAGAGACAATTGTCCGTCGATAGCCGCAAAAATCATGAAAATCGGCCCGGTAGAACGCTGGAACTAAGCGTCACCAGTTTCGCAAAATTAGGAGGTCTTGGAGCTTATAGTATAGAAGCTCCAAGACCTCCTAATTTTGCGAAACTGGTGACACTTAGTTCCAGCGTTCTACCGGGCCGATTTTCATGATTTTTGCGGCTATTGACGGGCAATTGTCTCTAGATAAGCCAACTCTTTTCAGATTTTGAAAATATGGCCCAGGATTTTTTATATTACGTGGTAAAGTTGCGAATTCTCCCATATAAACAATGTAAATTTATGTGTTTTGTCATAGTTCGTTTGAGCATTCTACTGGGCCGATTTCCATGATTTTTGCGTAAATCGACAGGTAATAGGCTCTAGATGAGCCCGCTCTAATCAGATTTTGGAAAAAGGACCTAGGTTTTTTTCAAAATCACGTTATTAAAGTGAGTGAATTTACAGAGTGCTCCGGGACTGCTACCGCTATGCGCGGGAGGATGCGCAGTGGTCGAAGAGGTTGCGCAGTAGGTGTGTAGCCTGCGCATCAGCTCTACACTTATCTACACAAGATTTCCGCCTATTACCTCAAGACGAGCGGTGGCCGAGTCGTCTACGACGTCGGAAGTGTCCACATTGATCAAGGTGTGGGTTCGATCCCCGCCTCCATAGATACTTACTAATTTTCCGATTTAAACAGGTCGTTGTTTTACTGTAATATTTCATCAAGCAGTCATTCCAAAACGCGTCCTTTTGACTTCAAAATTTTTTTTTTCTTTATTCATCAAAACCAAAAATTATTTCATTCTATTAAGTAAAACTAATACTAATAGGAGGGTAAAAATAGGGCCGCGAAGCGGCCCATTGATGGCGCGGAGCGCCTTCGGGGGGTTGGGCCGCGTAGCGGCCAGGGGGCGTAGCCCCCTAGTAACCTCTATTTTTCCTCTGCCCTTCATTTTTTCTGTGCTCATCTCACAGCACACCAGCTAGCAAAATAATTGGATTTTATATTTGCATAATCATTGGTTTTAGGCGGGTTGCAGCAGAGCGAATCAATTTTGACCTCTTTATCGTAGAATTTTACTACCTTCCGTTTTCTTGCGCAATTCTACGGAATTACACAAAATCGGCTCCTATCATCACCTTGTCATCAATGCCAACCGATTTCTTAACTGAAGAAACCCTTGGAAGCTATGAACACCTATCGTATTCGCCTTCCCTCTTCAGTGACTACACCGATAGAATGAGCCTGTTGCAAAAACTGGACAATTGGATTTCACATTACTACATTGTATCCAAATTGAATGAAGAGCTGGACATCTCCGTGAGACGGCATTGTAAGGAGGCCTACGGCCCAGAATACGAAATGATTGCAGATGGCTGCAAATCGCGAATAAGTTTGTCTTTGATTGCATCCAACGCAATGTACGGCTTCCCGCGACTTTTGGGTCCTAACGTCATCGAAACTGGTCCGCTACATATAAGAATCCCCAAGGAGTTGCCACAGGTAACTTTCAAACAGTCCTATCGTGGCTAGAATTGAAAGAGCGTATCACCATTGCAAGTCTTAGAAATTCCGAATTTGCTCTGTTTTCAACGATTTTTATCGTTATAACGTTATATCATATATAACGAATCTTGATATTTGTTTGAAATTTTCTGCGAATATTTATGAGTGAGCGAAGAAAATGCAAGGAAAATTTCAAGAAATTCAAACAACATACAATGGCACAAGCGGATAAACGCTTTTTTAGACGTAGGTCATCGTTATAAACTGACATTTTGAGCTACTAAACATCATATTCAGAATTTAAAATTTCCTAAAGTGTGTACACTGTCAAGTTAACTAATCAGATTATCATCAAAAGAATAATTAAAAATAATAGAGTGCATTTCCTTTGGAAGATATGTAACAATATTATAATTAAATAATAAATAACACTAGAATGCAATTTTAGAATCGTCTGATAAAATCTTAATAAATAAAGTGCCTGATAAAAGGGTTAAATTGTAAATTTAATTGTAGGTTGAAACTTCTTTATAAAAACTTAAACTGCTAAATTTAATTATAAGTTATTATAATTATAATTTAATTATTTACTATTTATTATATGTAGTCCAAAGATTCACGGAGAAAAGAAGAACGGTGCTCAGCACCAACTTTGCTTGAATATCCGCCGGATGTGGTGGACTGCAGGAAAACATGTCGCCTAGCAGAGGCAGTTTGTGCGAAAGCTCAGGAGGAATGTGCTAAGGACAAGCGCCGGCTGTGCCCAAGTGCGGAATGGAATGTTAAAGCAAAATCATCATCCGTCCCATGTGATGAAGTCCATCTTCTGCTACTCAGCGCGGTTCTTTTTTTCTCCGTGTTGGGCAACTTTTTGCCCAGTCCGTGAACAGATCACTTGCCTTGTCCACTCCGCAAATTATCCGGTGCTCTTGCCTATTCTGTGATCCGAGCAGCCAGTCTCCGAATAATGACCAGTCAAGAGTCTGAAATTTACGCCAATTTGAAATGCGATCCATACGCTAATTTATGAACATCCCTCACTGACCGACTTTCGACTTCTAAAAGTATCAAAAACATTTCGACGGCGTAAGTCGAGAATCACATAACTCGGTTTGCGACGTCGCAGACTTCCTGTCATACTTTATTTTTCAAACGGGAAACTACTCAACGGCAACTCTTTAAAACTACCGTGATTTGCCTTCTCGGTGCGGAGAAAATTCTGCAAAAACTTCAAGATGTCAATTTGTTCTTTTTTAAAAAAATAACATAGAGGCGAAGATTTTCAGAGACCGCAAACGAGTTATGTGATTGCGTCATACGAGTTATGTGATTTACGAGTTAAGTAAATTTAAGAAAAAAAAGTAATGAAGATAACTTGCCACTTCATTGTGATTTTTTTTCTTAGGATTTACAAAACTGGTTGGATGGCGCCGAAAAAGGTGTAATCTATTTCAGTCTCGGATGCAATCTAAGAGGAAAATCTTTGAACGAAGATGTTCGAGCCAACTTTTTGAAAGTTTTTGCACAGCTCCAGCCTCTTGGTTACCGAGTTCTGTGGAAATGGGAATTGGACGAGAAAATTCCTGGACAATCCAGCAATATTTTGGCGCAAAAATGGATTCCTCAACAAAGTGTACTCGGTAATTTTATTAATATTCCTTACGTTGATAATTCGTCCATTATTTTATTTTGCATGTGTGTATCATTTTTTCCTTTTCTTTAGTTTGTACAGTGGAGACTGAATACTGTTAGCATGAAAATAGTAATTATTTTCTTAAAACAAAATGTGAGAGGTCAATCCCTGGCAGTTTCGGTATGTCAACACTTGATTGAGTCAGACCTCTTGAGTATATCTAATCCTATGAACAGCGATACAATTTAATAAAAGTCGATCTTGGTATACTCTTGTTATATACAAATAAAGTTAGTTATAATAATGAAAAAAAAAAAAAAAACAATTTTATGTTTCCAGCTCATCCAAAAATCAAAGTCTTCATCACGCAAGGTGGGCTTCAAAGCTTCCAAGAAGCGGTCCACCATGGTGTTCCAATGGTGGGGATCCCTTGGTTTGTCGATCAGGGGTTCAATGTTGCCAAAATGGTGGATGCAGGCATTGGAGTTAAGTTACTGCCTAAAAACCTTCACTCATACGAGGATATCAAGTTGGCGCTTGAGACAGTCTTGCACGACAAAAAGTAAGAGTAAATATTTGATGTTTTTCTTTCACTAAATTCACTATAAGTAAGTTTTGAAGAAACTCTAAATAGAAAGAAAGCTTAAAATCTAAAATCCTCGAAGAGGGATTATTAGATGACGCAGATAAAACAACGTTTGGACACCACCAACGTTATGGTTCGGGACTTTTTCAGGGCTTTTCTTCCCCTTATATCAGAAGTTTTTTTTGGAGACGCCATGGCCAAACTGATGTTTTCATTTCTCAAGGCTCTAGTGATCATAGTGCCTTTAAGGTATACCTTCATATGTTCAAATTATCCTCAGGACCCCTCTATCGATTAGGCTGTGACTCCATCCTTTCTGCTGAACACTCCCTTTTCCATTGCAATAAGATTCAATTATCACTGCACGAAATTCCCTAAATTCCAATTTTGACTCATACCCTTTTCTCTTCTAGACGATCAGGATTTGCTCCTTTCCTTTTCTTCAAAATGTGTTTCCTTCAGACACTGATTGAATCATCCGTCAAACACGTTTTACTTCTGAAACCCAAGACTTCTGCAGTTTTTATCGTTTTTCTAATTGAAAAATAACACTTTTTAAAATAATTCCACACCACTCGTAAGTTTATGATATAAAGTACAGCTAAAGAACTCTCAGGGGTGAGATACTGAGACACCTGACATGGAAACTGCGGGTTGAAGATGGGAGAAGACCAAGAGACAGATAAGATCCAACCTTTTATACAAAATATGACATCACCAAAGAGGGTGGTGGGTCAATCATCAGGCGGGATATCAAGGGCATATCAGGCAGTTATGCTTTCTTTTTACTGATATGAGATGAAGGAATGAGATAAATTCCAAAAATGAACGAGGAACTGCATTCCGTCTAGGTTTGTAATAGAACAAGAAATGTAAGAAGGATGTGAATGAATGCATTTTGTATTTAATCAAAGCTTTCCTAGTAACCAAGACTGAGATTTAGAGCAATTTTGCCAATGATTTTTGGCGTGCCGCCGGCAAATAGTCCATGGCAAAACTAAAAATATTAATCAGAAAAGATCAAAATAGCGTATAAAATTGGACGAAAATATATTCAAAATATTTTGAGGTTGATCTGATGCTATATTCTTAATTATTTACAACAATTTTTAACAAGATTCTTAAACAATTTGCTGAAATATTTTTGACAATACCTTTTATCATAGTCATATTTAAGATTATTTTGTCAAATATTTGAGCAAAACAGTGTTAAAATATTACTGGAAAATTTGTGAACATATTTTGAAAGTATTCTCTTTAAATATGGTCATAAAATACGATCAAAATAGTTTTGAACGTATTTAAATAGTGCTCTCACTAAAAAAAAAACCTGACAATCTTCTTCAACCAAATAAAATATTCCTGATTTACCTACTAGGTATTCACCGACACTTGCAGGTAATGTAATAACTACCTCTTACAATTAGTAGACATGATTTAGTGGTTCAATGTGACAATTATTTCAGATATTCTGATAACATGAAGAGACATTCAGCGATATCTCACGACCTCACTTCTCGAGCCATGGACCGAGCAGTATTTTGGGTTGAGCATGTAGCCAGACATAAAGGAGCATCGCATTTGAGGCCGTCAGCTGCTGACGCCTCTCTCTTCGAGTTTTTCTGCTTCGACATTATCTCAGTCATTTTATGTTTCGGTCTTACAATTGTATACTTTTTATTCAAGTTACTAGTTGGTATAGTTTTTAAAAAAATTGGGACAAAAATAAAATTATCATGATACTTTGTTCACGATGTTACCATGGCTTTGAAAATAATTAGATTTATGAATACTTCATTTTGACAATCATAAAAAACTGATTTCAACCGGAAAGGAACCAAGTATAATCATTATTAAATGCAGGAAAATTGGTTTGGAGCTAATGTTAGAGCCTGCGGTTTCTTTCTCTTTAATTTGAAACAAACACATTTGTCGAAAAAGAAGCATAGGAAGACTACATTTTTCTTATTATGGATTTGTTCCTTTTAAGCAAGAATAAGACAGAAACTGCCTACTCGCGATTTGTGTTCCCAGTCAAAGCTCTGAGGCAAATTTTAAGATTGACTATTTTAAAAATTATTTTTCCGGGACAGAATCGAAATCGGATTTAGGACGGAATCGGGGGATCCCGGTAAGAATATATTGCGCTCGCGAGCCGGGTGCACCCGTCAACAGTTTTTAATAAGTTTTAATATTTTTAGTGTTCACCATGTTCTTCCCATGTTTAAATCCGTACGTGGATGTCATACATCCAAGTATTTAGTATTTAATGTAGCGAGGTAACCTGATGATAATCAAGAGATCGCAACAGCTATCGTCATATTTAAAGCAGGAACCACCTTGATCGAGAAGAAACCCAAGGCACAATATTGCATGTTAAGTAAAAATTAGTTATCAACTAATACTGTAATTAGAGTAAAGTGGACTGGTGTAATTGAGCCAGAGAAAACGAACATTCATAAAAATAAAGTACTTAGAAGCTGGACATTTAAGTTCACTAACAAGCGCAAACAATAGAAAGAAGAGTCGCTGCAGAGCGTCTTTCAAAAATGAAGAAAAACAATAAAAGGAGAAACTAATGATAAATAATAACAATAATTAAGAGACTCGGAACAAAGCTACGCACAGTCCAGCGTTCACGAGTCCCACCTTCCACAACGGAGGAAAAAATTAATTAATTTAAATTGTAATTAATCGAGAGAGAGAGCGATTAAATTAAATTACTTTAATGTCGGTAATTCAGTTTTGATACAATTATCATTGTTTTTTCGAGCTGGGGCGAGCTTCGTTACAAAAGATTGCAATTAAAAATGAAAAAAGGGGAGGAGGATGGGAGACCTGAGGGAAAACTATGAGCAGAGAGGAGGAAAGGGACTAGTCTCCTGAAAGAAAACCCTCCCTCGGTAGGAATTACACGTTTTATCTTCACGACTTGATTCTGGTGCCGACACTGACTTTTTTTAATTAATAGGAACAGCATTAGGGAGATAAAAAACGGTGCTCCCTCTCCAAGAATGAATCGGGGATGCCTGGATTTTTGTACGTTTATGCCTCAGATTCAATTGAACACTTCACTCCTGCAGGAGGAACGGAAAATACTACTTTTAGAGCACAATGGACATATTCTTGAAAACTAGGGGGCCATGTTTCTTGACCGCTAAGCGGCCTGACCATACGAGATCGCATCGCGCCCCAAGGCTTGTGGTTTAATCTAGCATTAAATGAGCCAAGCTCTAAAAAAACAATTCATTGGCAACTGTATCAATGATTGTGGGGAGAAGTGATTCATCCATTTTTGGTAATTCCTACAAACAGAGGAAATAAAAAGGAAAATGGCAATATGAGCTCAGAATTATGAAGGAAGTCATTCATAATGATACTATGAATGGGATAACAATATTGCCAAGCGTACGTAACGAATCACTGAAAAACTCACCCGAATCCCTGAGTAAATAAACGAAGTAGCAGTTAAATAGGAAATTAATTGAGAGCACATAGAAAAATGACCTGGAATGGTCGCAAGAGCGGAATGGCATAAAAGCGGAATGGAAATCGCCAAAAAACTGGAAGGGAAAGTTATGGTGGAGTAAGAGAAGGGATAGTGGATTGGGTGGGCGCAGAATGCGCAGATAGGGGTGATGCAATAGATGGGAAAAGGAAGGAAGGAAGGGTTTAAAAACGGTAGTGGTCACGCCCAGCGTTAGGTTCTGCGGTTAGGATTTTTGGCGTTAGGTCTACCTAACATCACCTTTTTATGTAGAGTAAGTTATTCGAATCTTACTCACACTTGTATAAATGGCATTTCTCGTGTTCACAAATGTCAGACTTCCGTTCGTCAAAAATCAGATAGTCTATATATTTAAACCGAAGTTGGGCACTTAATCGATTTCAGAGCGTTTAAAGGTGGTATCATTTTCTCAACATGGTGAAATTTTTTTTAACAAGTTTATGAGGTTCATTCATCAATGAGAGACGGAGGAAATTTCTTCAGAAATCAAACTCTGCTATATTGACAATTTTGTATGTTCTCTTCATTTAAATATATCCTCTATTACCTATGTTGTGTAAATATAAATAGGTACCTTTTTGAGTCATGCGCTTAAAACCGGACTGCAGCACATCGACAGTATACCTATTTTTGGATATTTCCGTAAAAAAAAACAACAGAAAATCCAACTTTGAGGATTGGATTCTTCCTGTCGATACGTATCCACAACTGAACCAAAGTCTTAAAAAAATGGTGACAAGTCTCATTAGCCACACACATACCTAATATTCTCGGCATTTTTAAGATTTTGATAGGTTTGAGGGACTAAAATGATCATCCTCGGCACCTATTCTTTCGTATTGTTACATCTCTGCTCTAATTTCCTTTGCCCGAAAATCAGCACCGCCAATAACCTGTCGTTCCCGAGATGACCCAGACCCACCAATGCACCTTGCAACACACCTTCGCACGGCCGGAAAGACAAGGCCCAAGGTCGGAGAATGCCTCCGCCGTGCTAGGATAAAACGATATATTCACACAGAAGTCGTAGTGGACATATGTGGTTCTCTCTATTTCTTGACTCTCTTACTGTCCCGTCAAAGCCCGGGAATCAGTTTCGGGACTCCGGATATCCCCAGTCACTCCGCGGGCGCTCATTCACGCACACATTCAGTTCATTCAGTTGATCCGTAGCGTAGTTCATTCATCAAAACATGAATGAAACTGAGCCTCGGGCCCTGCTCCACCCGGGCCGTTTTCTTTTGACTCCACCGTGCGGTGTTGTCGAACGAGAGGCAAGTCACCTGCGAGTAAAAAACTGTTTTTTTTCCTGATTCTGATCAGATTGACATGAGTTGCTGATTTGTCAAGGTTTGTAACGTGGTCGAACTGGCATGCATCGATTATTATGTAACAAATCTCGGCAGATTTTGAATTTTTAGCCAAAAAAGATGATAGCCGCTGTGCATAAGTCTTAAACAAATCATTCTAGACCAAAAGACGTGGAAAGTCTAGAGAAATGAAAAGAGAACCCTGTTCGGAAAACCTTGCATTTGATACAGAGATCGATAATTGAACTACATTTTTCAAATTGGAACTACAATTTCTGGCTCAGTTTAGAAACAACGTATGTGCCATTTGCTTCCCTGTACTCATAAGTATTTTTACGGATGAGCCAAAAATCATAGTTCCGAATTGCAAATGTAATACAATTGGATTATATTTTATCATACGAGGGTCTGTTTCTGGCGCATTTAAGACAACGCATGTGTTATCAGTATACATCTATATGTGATTTTATAGATGAAACGGAAATAGTGGTTCCTTAATGCAAGATGTTGCTTCACTTTCCCCAGCTTCAAAATGAAGTACCGTTCGGTGATAAAAAGGATCACTACGAAAAATGTAAACTAAAACAAAAACCAAGCACTTTCTTCCAATGTTGACTTCATTTTTACGTACTGCACTAGAACAATTGGACAAATTTGAGCTAAAGGGAACTATGTGCATAGGGATTGTGTGCAACAAAGCTCTTTTTAGCCTAAATACGTCCAATTTTGGAAAATAGTGGATAGACGTTGGCGCAGAGATGTATCCAGGGTCGGACTGACTCGCATCCGAGGGCGTAGACCCTTGGCTGGTTGAAGGGGCGTAATGTGATATTTCCTGGTAGGGCATTCCCTACGTGGAGAGGGGTTCAGAAAATTTTGGCAAATCAGCACAAGTTTACGCTATTTTCAGGTTCAAAGTTTATTGATCGCACGGAGTAAAAATTGCAAAATTGAACATGAAGCACAGCATTGAGAGCTCACGCTTCGCGTCATCGCGCCTTCAATTTTTCAGATGCAGCACGGACGTCCATCAAGTACGAATAGTTGTATCTCTGCGCCGTCGTTAACGCGCATCCTTTCCCCCGCTTTATTTCCATTTTGTGTTTGTTTGCGTTTGTCTTATCTGTAATGTTGCTTCAAACTGGAGCAGAGCATTGAGAGTTCACGACTCACGGCATCGTGTCTTACATTTTTCATATGCAATGTGGACATCCATCATGCGCGAATAGTTGTATCGCGTTTACATTTAGATGTCTCTTATTTTTGAATTTCGAGATAAATTTAGGTTAAGTTTGCCCGAGCTATGCTATGGTATGTCCAAATCAATAGTCATTTGAAAAGGAGGAAATATGTTTAAAGGTCTCTTAACAGGTCTATAAAGGATGCGAATGTCTAAAAATCGAACCGACCATCGCTTCTAAGGGAGTTACACATAGCGAATGAAGGAGCGGGATGATAAAGCGCGCCTGAATGTCAAGAAGAAGGTGAAAATTTCACAGAAAATTGTTTACGCTTCAGAAAGTAGTTCTTGGACCTCTGTTCAACACTACCATGCGTTAAAGCACCTTTCTTTACTTCTAACTCTCTCCTTTTCCGTCCATTCAAGACATTTTTCTCACATATTCTCGATCGTATTTTTTTTTCTTTTCTTCTTATTTTGCTATCTGTCAGAGGGGCGCATTTTCGGCGGCAAAGGGGGCGTATCTGCCAATGGCAGATTGGCCTTATGGCCAGTCCGAGCCTGGTATCAAAACCAGTTTTGTAGGGGCAGCGCGCTAGCACGGCCTTCTTCCAGGACCAGGAGTGGCCTGAACCTGCTCAGCGCGAAAGGGGATCATGGCGCAATAATTTTGGAAAATTGACCACTTATGAATAATTTTAAAACTGCATTTACGGAACTAAAAATTTACGGCCGACACATCCAGAACCCTTTAGAGGGCGATTCCGGGAGAAAACAAA